TTTGGACCAAGATGTTATATTGTGAAAGGGAGGATTATTAACTAATATAGTAATAATCTTTAAGTGAATACTAACTGGCTCTTTTGATTTCATAGAATTTCCTTAACCAGTTAGTGAGCTCTAGGCAATGTTTCATATTTTTTTATTATTTTTTTTTAAGAGCCTCTTTCTTACTGAGACATTTTTTGTTTTTTGAACTATTTTAACACTTCTTCCCGAATCTTTTCCTTCACCGAGATTCACTTCACCACTGGCCTCCTCTGGAGCGACCTCTACTTAGCAGACCAAGAGTGGTGAAGAAAAACCAAGGAGTGCAATGCATTGGACATTTTATTTATACTGTACAAAACGATTTTCTAGTAAAATTAGACGTTTTGTGGAACAAAATAGGCTTTTTACAGGCATATATTACAAGATAAGCATGCACCAACAAGGAAAAAAAATGTACACAATTATATCACTACCCATGAATTGCTTAAAGCAAAATAATGTCGCTAAAGCTAAACATTGATGATAAACTGAGCTAGAACATTTTCCATAAAATGAAAAGAAAATACTGCGACCGAATAAATCACAGACACTTTAAAAACTTTGACTTTGTACCATTTGAAAAGTTTTTTTTAAACTTCTTCAGTCATTAGGGGTGAACTGGGATGTTCGCTGCGCTAGGGCAAGAAGGCAAAGGGCACCGAGACTGCAAGTATTATCACATCTTCACACACTTCGCCTCGGGCCCTGCCTCGCCGCCCTCGGGTCGCCCTCCGCGGAGACGAAGGGCGGGCGGCGGCCCACGGGACTCGTCCGCAGCTCGTCGGACGCGCTCCGTTCGTACGCTCTCAACCCCCCAGCTCGCCGTGCCTGTTGGTACACAAGCCCCGAACCGGACCAAGCAGGGGACTCGGAATAAAGACGGAATCGATGCGATTCCTGGTCCCCGAGGGCGGTTCGTGGCGGGCTAGCTTGAACCACAGCTACGGGCTACAGGGTTAGGACGTGGCTAAGTACGGAGAGGCATGCACATAGTCAGCATCAGAGCAGCAGCAGTGATCATCGGGTTTTCCCATTAGAATAACGGAGGGCACATGCGCCTCGAGCGCCCAAACACTCATACCACAACACTTAATAGGTGTATTATATTATATAATTATATTATATCATTATGTACATAAATATTACTGTAATCTTAGAATTTTCCCGTTGTGATTGGGCGTCTTGGGAGGGGGAGACGCGAGTGCAACAACCGACCCCCTACAGGTGTTGGGTGGAGGTCACCGCGATGTCTTGATCACCTGTTGGTCCCTGATTGTACTTTCAACTGTTGGCGTGGGTGAGATCACAAGAGTTGGCGTGAGGTGGGCTCAGCTGGACACGAAGAGCGGGTCCATCTGGAGGCGTCGCGCGTCCAGACCTCCTCGGAGAGATTCCTTGCACTTGACCAGGTTGCCGTTGTCTTTGCCGTTCATGATGAACATGCTCAGCTGCATGGCCGCCGCGGCTGCCTGCTGCTGCTGGTGATGATGATGTTGCTGCTGCGTGGTCACAGGAGACAGGGGGGGCGACTGATGGAGGGCGCTCGAAACCACGACAGACTTGGACGGTGAGAAGTGGTGATGCTGATGATGATGAAGCTGCTGCTGCGCCTGCTGTTGAGCCTGCTGCTGCTGCTGCACATGGAGATGGTGGAGGTGAGACGGCTGGGACAGCGCCTGGGGAGGTGAGGAAGCCCGCTGCTGCGGCGGAGGCGACGGCAGGGCCTTCACCGGAGACGGGGTTTCGGCGGGAGGCGGGCTCTTGCGAGGCTTGTCGTCCTCGTAGAGAATGCAGATGGATCCGTTCTCGCCGATGCGGTACGCCACCTCCATGGGGTCCACCCACATGGTGAGCTCGCTGGGGAAGAGCGACCGGAGGAAGGAGACGGCCAGGCCCATCATGAATCCGGCCCTGGCGATCAGGGGGTCCATCTTGCCGTTGATGCGGATGCACCGGTATCCGGATCCCTTGAAAGGCTTGTCCGGGAACCAGTGGTCGGTGTAGTGCCGCACTAAGATATCACATACATTCTCGCGGAACTTATCCATCTGTGATTCCGTTAGTCCGCTGTTGTTGAGGCGAACTAGATCAACTAGGAAATCGGCCGCGGATTTGACTTCTAACCTCATATTCGCTGGGACACTCGGGAGCGAACACGGTGACGGAAATTCACGCACTACACAATCGCTAAGAGGGAGACACCGTTTGGGGGAACTCTCTCTCGTCTCTGACGGAGGGAGGTCGGGACTAGGAAACCTGGCACTTGTATACACAGCCGAGTAAGAGGATGTCGCTTCGTATAATCTTTGGTATTGGCCGTCGTTACACTGACTATTTGGTTGGTAAAACTCCGAATAAAATCACAGTCTATGTCTGTCCGTGGACGGGGAATACGTGGATAGTGGCTCACGCCACGCGATACATCCTCTTTCGCGTGTGTCTTTGCTCTGACTGGTGACCGGGAGTGAGTGAGCTTGTTGTTGGCTTTCACCGATGACGTCACAACTGAGAAGACGCGGGCCAATGAGCACTCGGAAGACGCGGGCCAATCAGCGCGCAGACGACGGCGACCAATCAGCGCGCTCCGCTCCGCTTCCCGTCACGTGACCGGCCTGGCAGCCATTTTCTAGACAAAGAGCGGCTCGGCTCGAACATGGACGCCGAGCCACGACCCCAACAAAGAACGACTCCGGCTGAATTGCAAACCCAAGCTCTGCCTCGAGAGGGAGTTCAGGAGGAGCGGGAGCGTCCTGAGGCCAAGCTCGGCGTTCCCTCGAGCGCAGGACTCCAAGCTTGAAGGACGAGCTTCGCATTCGCAGCTCCTCCATATGTTCCCAAAAGTTTCACTCGAGTCCTGGGTTTCTACTAGAAAGCTGGAGTGGCCCGTCTATGAGCCAGTTCTCTGAAGGAAACTCTCGCATTGTCCTCGCCTGCCCGGAGGACGCACGGAGTGAATGTCTCGAGAAGAGATGTCGGGAAAAGGGAGATAAAGTGTCGAAACTTTAGTCGTATTATGCGCAAGTTTTCTCACAATATGACATCTTCGAGCGAACAGATACACGAGTTTATGCCAAGAACGACGTTGAGTTTTAAGTCATTGAATATCGTATGCCTTGTTTAATATCCGAAAAAGTAAAGTTTATATATACATATATATGTGTGTGTGTGTGTGTGTGTGTGTGTGTGTGTGTGTGTGTGTGTGTGTGTGTGTGTGTGTGTGTGTGTGTGTGTGTGTATACATATACATATAGATATTTAATGTATTATATATGCCAATATAGATAGATTCATAGCTGGATGAATATTAACGCCAACCAAACAGATAAAACATACTGATACAGAATATACATATTTCCATCACAGATATCGTGGACACAAACTTACCATTAATACAAACCAGTCTCACTTGGAGGATGAAACCGTTTCTGAGTGCAATATCACGAGTGATTCACTGAATGGAGTTTGTCATTCGTAAACAAAAACTACTACAGAGCCCGAGTCCGCAGCCTTATGGGAAAACCGATCTGGCTGGCCGTCGGGGAGGGTGGCAGGCTCTCTCTCGCCTCGGATGCTATGGCTTTTTAGTGCTTTCGAAGCCAGAGGGAAAATAGAGCTGTTAATAACACGTATATTGATTTGGGTAGTTTTTGAGGAAATGGTCACTACACTACTTCGCCCGAATATAGTTTGGAAGTGATATACGTATATACATAGAATGCGTGAGTATGTTTATGTATGTAGGTATGTATGAATGTATCTGTCTCTATCTGTTTCTATGTGTGGACGCATCTGCACACACACACAAATATATATAATATACATATATAAATATACATTTTATATATATACATATATACATGATAAATATATATATATATATATATATATATATATATATATATATATATATATATATATATATATATATATATATATTTCAGGGGAATGGAAGCAGATGCGTATGAAGAGAAACATGCCTTAATAACTATTTAAATATTTATCTGAATAAGATAATGCAAATATCACTGGATCCGCAGTTTGCAAGTTTACACTCTGGTAATAGTTTTAGAAAGCTAATATAAAGATAATGAAGCAAAATGCACAAAAATCATATGTAGTTCCCCGGAGCTACAAAGCGACGCTACGACTGCCACCTCAGGTATCATGTTCTCCCTTATCAATTTTATTTATTTCGTCAACCGCTACACTCTTCTTCCGTTTCTTTGTTTTATGCATAAGATTCGAGGGAATCCAGAACGAAGGTAATTGTGAATTATAGATAAAGTTTATTGCGAAGGAGATAGAGAGCAAGATCTGAAATTCTCTTTGTTTTTGTTTGGGCCTCCGGTTCGTCGCTGACTAGCCGGCCATCGCATCGCCGCGTCGCTTCTAACCGACCCACCCGTCCTCGTGGTGCCAGATGAATGACAATACACCATTTCTTCTAAAATCACACCCAACAAAAGACAGGAATCAATTGCAATCAACCGAATTCATCTAAACCCCCAACAAAACAGAAATAGTAATAAAATAAAACCCTCCTTACAAGCAAAAGAAACTAATCAAACAAAAGGTCCTGAACGTAGATTATCGTACACCGCACTGACGCATAAGGCTGCCATATATGGGAGTTCGAGAAGGGAAAATATTAATGGAAATAAAGGTTTGGAAACTTTTATCCGAACTGATGCGAATTTCATACATATTGGGGAAGTGCCTTTCTCTATGTATGTAGTGGTTTCGCTCTACATATTTCTTTCGTGTCCAAAAAAAAGAGTTTATTCGAAATATATTTGGGGGCAGTAGGGGTTATATTTAGCGGGAAAGAGAGAGAGAGAGAGAGAGAGAGAGAGAGAGAGAGAGAGAGAGAGAGAGAGAGGAGAGAGAGAGAGAGAGAGAGAGAGAGAGAGAGAGAGAGAGAGAGAGAGAGAGAGAGAGAGAGAGAGAGAGATGGACAGACAGCATAGAGACACACATCTGTGTGTGTGTATATATATATATAGTATATATATAATATATATGTTTATATATATATATATAATATATATGTTTATATATATATATATATATAATATATATGTTTATATATATATATATAATATATATGTTTATATATATATATATATATATATATATATATATATATATATATATATATATATATAATTCTACATACATAAATATACATATATTTTTAAATACGCGTACATTTATATATATGTACATATATTTATATGTATATATGTGTATATATATGTATATGTATGCGTGTGTGTGTATTATATATATAATATATATAATATATACATTATATATATAATACATATATATATTATATATCATATATGTATTATATATGTGTGTTTATGTTATATATGTAAATATATATATATGTATGTATGTAGTTATTTGTATATATATGTATATACATGAGCGTATACATTTATACAAATAGATATATCAATACCACACAAACAAGCAAACAAAGACACACAGGCACACATATCTATATCTACACATATATATTTACATTTATATATATTTATATTTATATTTATATAGATTTACATTTACATATATTTGTGTTTATATATTTTATATATATATATATATATATATATATATATATATATATATATATATATATATTTATATACATATAAATTTATATATATATATATATATATATATATATATATATATATATATATATATATATATATATACATATATATATATAATTTTTTTTTTTTATATATTTATATATATATATATGTTAACATATATTTATATATATATATATGTTAACATATATTAATATATGTATATATATGTACATATTGTTGTCATTATCATTACTATTATTTCTTTTTTTTTACTTTTTTACGATTATCATTATTATTATTATTATTATAACCATTGTTATTATTATTACCAATATTATTATTGATATAACCATTATTATTATTATTATTATTATTATTATTATTATTACCAATATTATTTCTATTATTGTTATTATCATTATTGATATCATCACTATTATTACTATTTGTAGTAATATTAATAGTATTCGTGGTACTAGTATTATTATTAGTGTTATTAGTATTATAAGTATTAGTAATATTAATACTATTAGTATTATTATTAGTTTTAGTAGTACTAGTAGTATTAGTGCTATCATAACCATTATTATTATCATCACTATAATTACTCTCATAATTCAAAATACACTATGCAAGCGTACCCCATTCAGACTCAAAAGCAGGAGTACTATTAGAAATGTACAGATGCAGGTTACATGCAACTGTGAACATTCAGTATTTCACATAATTTGTAAAGATCTTGTATGTGACCCTAATGCAGTGATCCCGTAAGGGCGAAATTGCCTCGTATTTTAGTGTCGAATACAGACCTTGGTGTAGAACATACGTGAGTTTACGCACATCGACCACGTTCGTTCTTTTGAATCGTGTTGTAAATTTGTATGTTTTCGTGCACGCTGAGAGTTAGTAGATGCGTTCATGTGCGGTATGATGTTGCTGTATGTTGTTCGGTTTCGTTTTGTCAAGGAAAAAATATGTAAAACTGTATATAGGATTGGGGTAAAGGAAGAGAAAGCCAGAGCCAGCGACGGGTCCGGACGCCACGGCTTAGCAACAACCCAACGCTGAATCGAAGCTGATGTTGCCGACTCGCAGGACGCCGGGTTTAAGCTTTCTTTGTTATCTATCGATTTATCTATCGCGCTGCAATGTCAACGCTGCTCTTTATAATAGGCTCTGACGTTCGAACCTTTTTTTTGTGTTTGTGTGTATCTCCTCCCGACCTTATCTGCGTGTTTGTATTTTTAGAAAGGGGTGAAGAGGAGGCGGGAACTGGGGGGGGGGGGCGGTGAGGGGTGAGGGAAGGGGAGGGGATATTGGGGAGGGGAGAGGTAGAAAATGAGATACCTCGCTGAAAGTTTTTGAACACTGTATCTTTTTGTCTTGTATTTCAGGAGCCAACCATGAGTTCGTTTCTTCCTCCCCCCCTCCCCCTCTCCCTCTCCTCTCCCTCTCTCTCTCTGTAATACATTAACCTATTGGAATATCTCCCGCGGAAAATGACGTTTCTATAGTGCGCCCCGAAAGGTAAATGAGAAAGAACCTGGTGACCTTTTGGGCGTGAATTCAGACCACGCCGTCGGCCGCCCGAAACCTGCTGGGGTCAGCCTCGCCTCCTCCCCCCCCCTCTCCCCCGACGCCCGCTCGCCCTCGCGCTCTCTCTTTGGAGTCTCTCTCTCTCTCTCTCTCTCTCTCTCTCTCTCTCTCTCTCTCTCTCTCTCTCTCTCTCTCTCTCTCCCCCCCCTCTCTCTCTCTCTCTCTCTCTCTCTCTCTCTCTCTCTCTCTCTCTCTCCCTCTCCTCTCTCTCTCTCTCTCTCTCTCTCTCTCTCTCTCTCTCTCCCTCTCCTCTCTCTCTCTCTCTCTC